ATGTATGTTTACGTAAACAATGATTTCGCGGGGCCCCGCCGCGCCCCCGCGCCGTCGCGGGCCGCGTTCGTGGGTCGCGTTTTCGCGCACGCGGTCTCCCTCACACATAGCGCGTCCATAGCGCGTCCTCCCTTCCACGCATAGCGCGCCTATAGCGTGTTCTCGTTCCTACGCACGCTACCGCACCGCTGCCATGCTTGCTCGCTTACGCGCACGCTGCCGCGTAGCCGCCATGCGCACGCGGTCTCCACTGGCATGGTTGATCCCGTCGAAATGTCACACGGAACCGCATATGTGTGCGCGTGTTCGGTTTACTTCCTATATAGTAGTATAAGTAGTATTCTTATATACATTGGTATTTTTACTAATGGAAAGGATGTGAAAAAATAATCGTAAAGATGGAGTAAAAGATACGTTATTTATTCGTCATTATTCGACGTATCAATAATATTCAAAGCGTACATATAGAAAAGATACATATAAAAATTATTCGTTGTGAAACGCGTCGCGTACAATAGCGTTCAAACCGTACGCCACCAATTCGCACTCGACGCTCGAATTCTTGTCGCACATTTTACGCAGAATATTCGCCGCGTCGTATCTATTCGTAATGCAATTCTGTCGCAGGAAAGATACGAATGCGTTGTACCGATTGTTAACGGTAATTACAGTTTGCCGCAAGTCGATGTATATATTCTCGATGCAATACTCCAGTTCGAACGTGAACAGCACGGTTGCAGGCTTCATATAAATAAAAGCGTCGCGCGTTGCCAATTTTGCAACGATGTTGTCGTCGCGTATTTTCACGAGTCGCACTGTCAAGTCACAGATCGATAACGATGACGATGATGTCGGAGTTGACTGCATGAGTCGCTCGACGTCCGCGCGTCTATCCATCAGCGCTCTCCAAGTTTCGTAAGACAGAACGATGCCGTTGCCGCGATTGTCACCGATCGTCAGATCGATCGTGGACAAAGGTCCAGCGTTGATTCCGATGTCCAGCCATTTGTAGGACGTATGAAGT